TTAGGGTTTAGGGTTTAGGAATCTTACATCCCCAACTCCCTACCGTATAGTTGCGAGGGTGGTAAGTGCTGAAGTTTTTGTGGACCTCATTCTCTATACCCCAAACCCAAAGCCTAGAATCCAACTAAGGCCGAAGCCCGAAGCCCTTCTGAAACCCGCGCCNNCTCTGAACCCTAAACCCTCAAACCCTAAAGCCCCAAAGCCCTAAACCCTCAAGCCCTAAAGTAAAGCCCTAAACCCTCAAAGCCTAAAGCCTTAAAGCCCTAAGACCCTAAACTCCGTTTTGAGGGCTCTTACCCTAAACCCTAAACCTCTTGTTCGGAGCTGGGTTCAGGAGGCTTCCGGGTCTGGGGGTTGAGGGTTTAGGGTTTAGGGTCTAGGGTTTAGGGTTTAGGGTTTAGGGTTTAGGGCAACGAGTCTGCGTGGGGACTCTTTGGTTGTTTTAGGGTTTTGAGGTTTGGAGTTTACGGGGTTTGAAGTCTAGGGTTTAGGGTTGGGGGGTTTAGAGTTTGGGTATTTAGGGCTTACGGTTTTGGGGCTTAGAGTTGAGGGGGGTTTAGGGTTTAGAGTTCAGTGGTTTAGGGTTAAGGGATTTGAGGTTTAGAGTTTAGGGGTATTTAGGCGTTTAGGGTTTGGGGTCTAGGGTTGTGGGGTTGAAGGTTTTGGGGCTTTGGAGTTTAAACGGCTTCGGGGTTTAGGGGGGTTCAGGGTCTACTTAGTATCCACATCTAACTCTTGAGGTCATCCCCACAGCCGGCTCGCTACGTCAAGCGAGTGTCCAAGTATAGCACCCTAAGCGAAACCGATGCAGCACCCCTGCAGAAACCAAGCCAACCCCTTATAAAGCTAGGGTGTGGGCTTTAGGTTTAGGGTCTTGTACCGACCCTTAAAGCGCTCAGCATCCAAAGGCTCGAAAACGCCCACAGAGAGCTGGAAGAGTGCCAAGATGTTGAACTCCTTCTCAACAAGGGCTACGAGGCCTTCAACCCTAAACCCTAAACCCCTAAACCCCTAAACCCTAAACCCTGAACCCTGACCCCTAAACCCCTAAAACCCCT